CTATAAATAAAGATTTTTTTTGGAACACAGCCATATCCCCTCCTTTATGCTGTTTATATTGTAATGTTGTTACAATGTAGCTGTTTTTATATCACAGAACTGAGTAGTGGTGACACAGAACACATGACCCACAAAGCCTAAAATTTATACTGTCTTGTCCTTTACAGAAAAAGTTTAGTTTTTTAAAATTGAACCCTGGTTTGGTGTAAAAGGCAGGCTACAGAATCACCCTATTTGCGTAATCACCCTGTACACGTAAATTGAGGAGGAAAATACACTAAAATGGGCATTGTCTCTGGGTGCTAAAATTACATGCGATTATTTGAATTTTTTCACCAAACATGTTAAACATAAAGGTATAAAAATATTAATCACATTAGGAAAATAGAATAGTAAGCATTTATTCTATTTTAGTATAGGCCCAATCATTTTAGTTGTTGATGTGCTTTGTTTCACCTGGTCCTTTTTCCATCCCCATGTGTGGGGACCCTTGTACCTTTGTTACACAAATGAGGAAAGGAAGACCCAGGGAGTTCAAGTAACTTGTCCAAGGTTACACTGCTAGTTAGAAACACATTGTATGTGGTACTTCTTTTCACTACATCTGTATCGTGTACCCCAATGTTCATAGCAGCAATGTCCACGATAGCCATACTGTGGAAGGAGCCGAGATGCCCTTCAACAGATGAATGGATAAAGAAGATGTGGTCCATATATACAATGGAATATTATGCAGCCATCAGAAAGGATGAATACCCAACATTTGCCTCAACATGGATGGAACCGGAGGAGATTATGCTGAGTGAAATAAGTCAAGCAGAGAAAGATAATTATCAGATGGTTTCACTTAATTGTGGAACATAAGGAATAGCATAGAGGACATTAAGAGAAGGAAGGGAAAAATGAAGGGATGGGGAAATCAGAGGGGGAGATGAACCATGAGAGACCATGGACTCCAGGAAACAATCTGAGGGTTTTAGAGGGGAGAGGGATGGGGGGATGGGTTAGTCTGATGATGGGTATTAAGGAGGGCACACATTGCATGGAGCACTGGTTGTTACACACAAACAATGAATAATAGAACACTACATCAAAAACTAATGATGTAGGGCACCGGGGTGGCTCAGTCGGTTAAGAGTCTGCCTTGGGCTCAGGACATGATTCCAGAATCTTGGGATCAAGCCCTGCATTGGACTCTCTGCTCAGTGGGGAGTCTGCTTCTCCCTCTCCCTCTCCCACTCCCCCTTCTTGTGCTCTCTCTCGCTCTCGCTCAAATAAATAAATAAAATCTTTTAAAAAAACAAAACAAAACAGAAAAATCCCCAAAACACCAATGATGTACCATATGGTGACTGACATAACATAATAATAATAATAATAATAATAATAATAAAAGAAGCACATTGTATGTTTACGGTGGAAACACACTTAAGAAACAAAAGGGAACAGGTTGAAACAAGTTCGCTTAGAAAGAGTGTTTTATTTGAATTCACAGGATACTGACCCTAACATAATGAGGAACTTAGAGAGGATCTGAGTAGCCTCTCTGAATCTACTCTGCCTCAGCAATGAGGTATTCTTTTTGTGGAAGTACCTGAAAAACCACAGAGCACTGTACTAATGAAGGCTGTTTATTCAGAAACTTGTCAAGGCACAACCTGCTGACTTTCTAAGATTTCCTATTCCATCTTTCTCAAACTAAAAACAACATAAATGTCAAGAAGAGATGACTGGTTTACTAAATTATGGCACTTCCTCACAATGGAATACTATGCAGCAATTAAAGAACCAGGTGACAATCATCTTGTTGTTGCTAGTGTGGGTGCTGTAGCTCCGAGGCTGCTCTGTGATCAGGCAGGAGAAAGTGAATGAGTAATGACGTGAGGTACTAGGGCCATCATCTGTGGCATCCTTGAGAACCGAGATTCTCAGTATAGAGAAAGGGGGTACAATATAAAAAGAAGAGGTTAAATAAAATCTCCTGTAATTTTCAATTTGAATAGAAAGTATAAGTAAGAACTTATGATGTATTTTTAATCACCACCAAAAACCACTAATTTCCTAACTCTGTCCATTGAAAAGGTCTAGAGAGGATGACCAACCCAGGAACAATGAGCACCTCCAAGTGCCTAGATTATTGTCTCTAAGAACCATTTACCACCAAGAGAAACTAGGGATCCTAGGAGAAATGGCTGATTCCAGGTCTGGGGCAAGCTCTGGAAGACCTTAGCTTCCTTGCTATGTGAATGACATCAAAGGTTACCAGGGTCATGTAAAAAGGAGCCAATGACTGAGATGGCACAATCCAAACACCAATAAAAATAATAAACAAAATGGACTAAAACACACCAAATGTGTTTAAACCTATGAGTTTACAAAGATACTAAAAACAAAACAGGAAACCCTGATTGGTCATTGGAAGATGATAGTAAACTACTCATTATTTTGAAAACTAAAAAATAAAGGGAAAAAAGCAAACACTTACCCTATCTTTCCTATATACATTGTATTATTGGATGCTCTAATAGGAGATATATTTGATTATTTGTATTTCAGCTAATACATGAACAATTAACTAATGGATCTAAGCAATAAACATCAACAGATGCTAAAATCACTAACGAGAAAACTATACCTTATGAGCCTTCTGACACGAGAGGACAACACGGTTTATGAAGCAGTTTTGCCCACAGACATCAAATGTAAATGCAACTAAATAGCTAAATCAAACTAATTTTTAGGAAATATGGAGGGTAGAAGGACATGTTAAATAGCACCACAGGGCTGCCATAAAAGAAAAAAAAAATCCAGGCTGTGGGAATCTCTACAGGTCAAAAAATACAATTTCTTCATGAAAAAAAGTGCAAGGGGGCAGGGAGGGGAGTAGAGGGATATAAAAGAAACCTATAGATTAAAAGGCACATGAAAGACATGTCAATATACTGCAATGTGTGGGCCTGATTTGGATTCTGATTTTATTTTATTTATTTTTAAAAATATTTTATTTATTTATTTGAGAGAGAGAGAGAGAGAGAGAGAAAGGGAAAGAGAGAGAGAGAGACCACACAAGCAGGGCAAGTGGCAGGTAGAGGGAGAAGCAGACTCTTGTTGAGCAGGGAACCCAACATGGAGCTCAATCCCAGGGCCCTGGGATCATGACCTGAGCTGAACGCAGAAGCTTAACTGACTGAGCCACCCAGGCACCCCTGGATTCTGATGTTAAATTAAAGGTTAAAAAATGGCATTTATACCACCGCCATAAATTTGAACATTCGCATATAACATATATATGTTATAAAGAAAATGTTGCTAATTTTTAAGGTGTGACAGTGGTGTTAGTAATGCTATATACTAGGTATTCACAGGTGAAATGATGTAATGTCACAGAGTTGCTTTAAAATAACCTAATGGTAGCTGAAAAAGTAGGTGGGGGCACAGATAAAATGAGATCAGTCCTGTATTGATGATTGCTCAGGCTGGATGAAGGCCCATAAAGGTCTGTTGTTCTGCTCTTTCTACTTTATCACATGTTTACATGTTCCCATAATAAAAGATTAAAATAAATCCTTCCTCCCAACATCTGGCTCATCGATTGGTTCTGACTAGTATCTCAGGTCTTGTATTTCATGAACAATGGAGAATTGAGCTGTGTGTTTCAGATCGTTCATCTGAGGGGTCTCTCTATTAGCCAAGGAGCTCCTCCATCACTTTCCTCACCAGAATACATCAGTACGTGCTTGGGAGTATATACACAGACACATACAAAAAAAGATTTCTCATGATTTAAATATTTTGCTTTGAAGCTGCAAAGAGTTATGAGAGGGTTGAATTTTCATAAAGTAACAACATGGAACTCTATAGAACCAAATTTGCCTGGCACCAGCGTTCAGGGGAGCTCACGGCCAGAGGAAAGGAAAGACAGTTATGGTGCTGAGCTTGGGTGGTGCTTCTGTTTAGAAGTTCTGAGAAAATAACCAGGCAGATCCGGATGACAAGGGACATTGGTTCTGTTCCCATGCTATTATTTGCATCAGTGCCACTGAGTTTCCTAAACTGGATAATAATGTCTGTAGGAAAGCAATGTATGCCAATTCTCTATTTGGGGACCCCACAGGTGAGAGAAACGAAGAGGGTTGAAGAGACAAGACTGAACGTTTCAGCCCCATCACCCCAGGTGTAGGATGGGTGAGAGGGAATCACAGTTAGGGCCCAGAAAGTGGATGGTTATCTTTAGAGATGGTACCTCTCAGCTCTCAAGGTAAAGCATGTTGTTTAGAGCGGCTTATGTGGCTCCTGCTTAATTTGCCAGCCTCCCCAGCATCTGTGCCCAGTGGTAGCCTCCAGGCTTAGGAGTCCCTCCCATGGCCTTCCTGAAACCTTAAACCTTAAACCTTAAACCTGAGACTGACCCCCGTTCTCCCACTGGTAAAATTCGCCATTGTTTTGTCTTTCTCCCCAATGAGCCCATAACCTCCTTGAGGGCAGGGGTTCCGTCCTTCTTAGTGGTATCTCATCACATAGCACAAGGCCTGGGATATAGAGGTGCCCCCCAAAGAGTAACTACAGAGTTGAACGTCACTATGGAAGTAGAGTAAGTAGTGGTTATGAGCTGCGCTTCGCGGTGAGACGAGACTCACTGCCCTGCCCGCTCCCTATACCCACTTTGCTGATGTGGTGTTAGGGTTTCTGGATTCTACTACTGACTTATTACAGGACCTCAGATTTTGTAAAACATTTTGAGATTCTCCTGGAAAGGATAACACCTATAACTAAATGTCTATCTCTCTGCAACAATGTAACTGATCCAGGAAGACAATAATACTAGGAAGAATTTCACTATCCACTTACCTGGACTGGTTTCCGCTGATGGCCTTACAATAATAAAACGTGAAATTCTAGCTACACACAATGCCTTGGACCTATATGAAAGGGTGAGGTGTTGGAGTGGACAAATGAACACTTTTTGAGTAGATAAGAACTAATCGAGTAGATAAGCAAACCTGGGCATCTTCGAATGTGTATCTCCCTCCATCTTTGACGTTTTGACTGGTTATCTCGTAGCTGTGAGAATCCAGGTTGATTGCGCTTGGGGCCCCTGGAGCCAGGAACTCTTGCCAGATTTCTTCTACCCTCTTGGCCACATCCTGCAGGGGTTGTTTCTTGAGGTCTTGGACAGCCAACCAGAACCTGGGAAGCATAAAGAAAGTCATTTCCACGGCGCTCAGCCTCTGGACTCTGCTGGATGTGGTCCCAGAACACACAGCCCATAAAACTCATTCTGCTGCATCTCCAGACTTCCCTGCTGCCACTAGCTAAGAGCAAAGATGGTAGGGACTGCTGGAAATTCACAGGGTGCTACATTATTGTGGAGAATTGAAAGGAAGTGCCCATTAGAGAAATCATTGTACTTCTGGTTACCAAGAGGTTTCTTTCCCTTTACATCAAGGTTTCTCAAGCTCTGCACTATTTCCATGTTGGGCTCAATGATTCTTTTTTGTGAGGGCTGCCCCGTGCATTGTAAGATGTTGAATAGCATGCCAGGCCTCTACCCACCAGATGCCAGTGGGGACCCCTCCCCAAGTTGTGACAACCAAAAATGTTTCTAGGTATTACCGAATGCCCCCTAAGAGGTGAAATCCCCTCCTGGATGAGAGCCAGTGCTCTCCACAGGTGCCCTGACACAGAGAGTATGAATTCATTTGTCATATCTGGTTGGGATCGGTTTGCAGCTCAAAATGAAGGAAATCACAGAGGCACAGAGAAGCTTGGAATTATAACGAATATCTGAGCTGGAAGGACCCAGCTATTCATGTTGCTGATGGAAAAGCAGCCCGTTTGCAAGGTCGGTGTCCAGCATGATGCTTAGCATATAGTAGGTGCTCAACAAATGGCTGTTGGCTTGAAGATGAGCTCCTGAGGAACAAAGCTGGAGAGGCACACATGGGCAACCTCTATGCCAAAAGATTCTCCAGAGAGCACTGGAGAGAAAAACCTCTAGCTCACTTCCATATGTGCTTTTCATGAATTCCTCAGCATCAGCATGGCAGCGGCTGTTGGAAGAGCTGGGTGTGAGCTCTTTTTCTGTCTCTTTTCAATGAGACATGAGGACAGGCCCCAGGCTATGTGGTTCCCACAGCCATAGCATTCACACATAAGCCAGTCAATGAAAGGGCAGGGACAAGAGAAGCTGGACCACAACACGGTGGAAAGTGTGTTCAATCTGTCATCGAATTGCACCCAAAGTAAGACGTACTTGTTTTTCCCTTTTTCTTTCTTTCTTTCCTTCTTTCTTTCAAGGTTAAGCATGTTTTTCTGCTGCTGTTCTTAGAATGGTCTTTGGAGCTAAGTGCATGGCCCAAAGGCGCCACTTAGTGGCCAATTGTGGTAATACAGCTCCATGTCCACCAGGAGAGGTGTGTGTGCCAGGGCTTCTGGACTCCCTACTCGTCCTGCTTTGCCATTTGGGATTCTAATAATCTCTTTAAAGAAAATCCTCATGGTTCCCTTGTTGGTCCTGAACAGCCAGAGTCCAGGAAGGAGATTTAATGACCTCACTTGACCAGAAGACCAGGAAACACAGTTCAGTCCTCATCTTGACTATGCTGCTGTCTTGGAATTGTGCCTTTCTGGACATCACTTCCCCCATCTGTAAAATGGGTATGAAGTGGGTGGCGGGATATGTGACGTGGGTCTCAAGAAGTTCCCATCCAGGTGTAACAGAAATGCTTTCAGTTCCCGTGGGTGAGAGCCGTGGGGAGGTCAAAGGGGACGGCCACATGGTCAGTACCGGGCTTCCTCCTTGGATGGCTGGGCGTTCTCTCTGTGGGGAGTGGGGTTCTTCCACCTCCCAACCCCATGCCTCAGGGTCCTTAGGCCTCTCCGTCCCACCCTCGACGTCTGCTGTGGAATGAAGGAGGTGGCCAGGACACAAAGATGAACATGGTCATCTGGTGATGTCTTTGTCCGAAAGGCAGGGTGTGATGGGCAGGTGAGAATTAGGAAACCCAGCTTTGAAGAAGCAAGCTGCTGTGGGTTTTTCAAAGGACTGGAAGGAGTGCTCGTGGGCAACTCACCAAAGATGGAGTCAGTGAGTCTTTGGCAGCCACGTGTTGGGGCTGACTCGAGAAGGGCCCTCCCTCAGGGAGTTGTCTCTGGGGTGAGCTCCCCGGGGCTGGAAGCAGCTCCTCTGGGCCAGCATCCTTCCCGAGCCTACCCAACCCTGCAGTTTCTTACACACATGGATGGTTCCTGGGCAATTTCCTGCTCCCTCAATCAATGTCATGTGGGGGTCACCTTCTGTCACTTTCTGTCCCTTGTTTCGGGCTGCTCTGAGGAGAAGCTCTCAAGCTCCGAGAAGGCCCTGAGGACCCAGCAGCTTCCGAGCTCTGCAGGCTCCTGCGGTTCCCAAGGCCTCAGAGTCCCTTTGGCAGAATGATCTGGGAGCCGCAGTCATGCCCATCACTCAGCAGGGTATAAAGAAGGTCTAAAGTGGATGTCAACAGAGACTCCAGAATCCAATGTCACACACTTGTACATAAAAATTAAAAGGTTCCCTTTGTCACAAACCAAGAATTTTTCAAAATAAAAGTACAAGAAGAAACCACAGGCCTGTTCGAAGACGAGGAGGAGATGACATTCCTCAGACAGCCGTCTTTCCTCCCTGCCCTCACAGGGACCCTCTCAGCCTTCTGTCTGCCTTGCCTTATGGATGACCTGCCTTATCCTTCTCAGGTGACAGCAAAAATGCTGTCACAACAGCATCCTGACATCCTGTATGTGTTTACCGTCACCGGCTTTGAAGAACCTTTGTGTCAATTTGAAATTCAGAGCAGGCTCCAGTTTGCATTTGCCGTCTGTGAGCCCACTGGCCTGAGGCGGGAGCGCCGCGCTCCGAGCCCCTGGGCCCCAATGGCCCAGCCACATGCCCCCCTCCGGGGCCACGGAGCTCCCCGCCACACACCCGGGGCGGGCTCGAGGCCCGTGGAGGCTGGGGCAGCTTCTGCCCTCTTGAAGCCTGCAGGTACAGGTACCGCTCCTCCTCGAGGACGCCCGCGAGAGTGGGGGGACGATGCCAGCAGCGGCATCAAACCCGCCATCCTGCGCTGAGCCTCTGTGGCTTGCAGCAGAAGGCTGTCAGGACTGGCAGGCCACAAGGACTTGCTGGTATCAGGGAGACCATCTGTCCCGCTCCGCTGGAGTCGTCAGAGCGTGGGGAGGCAGCCCGCGCCGGCATGGGGTGTGCGGCGATGGCTCAGGAATGCAGGCCTGGCACGGGCCTGGGTAGGGAGCCCATGGGGGCTCTGACGCCCCAGGGCCCAGCAGCAGCCATAGTGGGGGGGGGTTTCCAGGGGCAGGTGGTCCCCGGACTGCCCCAGGTAGCCTCCTCTGTCCCCAGGACCTCAGTGCTGGCAGGGAGTGGGATTTTCTCCTGGAGGCTGGCTGGAAGCAGGAACAGCACGCAGCCACTGTCCCTCTCTTGCCAGGGCTTCTGGGCAGCCCCTCGGTTCTTATTTTCCCTATTTTTTTTTCATAAACTAGGATTTTCACGGCTTGGAAAAATCTAGCTTTTAGTTCATTCCCAGAGAAAATGCAAACTCGATGCTGAAGGAAGGCTTTCTGTGCCCTCTGCTGGTCAGCAGAGACTCAGGAAGGACAGAGGCAACTTGACTGGGTCCCTGGTGGGGCGGAAATCCTCCGGGGGGCTACCGCAGCCACCAGCCCCAGCCCCGCGGCCGCTGAGTTCTGTTCCTTCCAGGGGCAGTGGCTGAACTGCCACAGATTGTCACGGTGGCGCGTGAGCCACCTCTGCTGCGATTAATCATGTGTTTGGTTAGTGGTGAGTCCTGCTGGGCCTCATGAACCTTCCCAGGTCCTCCCAGGACCCGGGGCAACTCTCAGAGCCGGGAGCTCTCCAAGCAAACCTGGCAGCTCCCCCGTGCTCTCTTTAATTGCTTCTCCCTTCAGCTGACACTGTGTGGAACTGGGATAATCAATCTGCAGGTTAGAAGAACAACCACGTTCTCTCAGGAGATGTTACAGCTCATAAAAAATGTACGGGCAACGCTCTTTGCTGTGGGTTTTGAGTTTTAACTCATGCCCTGCTGTGCAGAAGGGGGTGTCGCGCCAGGGAGGGAGCAAGATGGGCATGGGGTGATGGGGAGGGGGCAAAGGTGGACAAGGGACTCCTGTCACCATTCTGGGAAAGCGCACAGAGAAGGGAGGATGAAGTCGGATAATGCACTCGACGTTCCTGCTTCTCCCCTTCTGGGTGACAGCCCATGGGCATTGTACAGGCCCCCAGCAAACGGTTACCTTGGGGCCCCAGGCCATCAGAATGGAGCCCTGGGCTCAGGTCGGGGTGCCACAGAGAGCGTGGGTTCTCACACCCTGCAAGGCGCTGGGCCCCCAAAGATGAGGCCCCTCCCTTCTCAGCTCACCATGAAGGGGGACTTGAACTTATGTCCTATTATCACAGACACCTTCCCTTAAAGGATCCAGGGTGATGCTTTGCTGTTGTGAGAGTGACTTCTACGTCTCTTTGGGGCTCCTCTGGGCTGTCCTCTAAAGCTCTGGTGCACGTTCAACCACGTGGCTACTTCACCAGGGCCGTGCAAAAATGTTACCGTCTAAGTACCCCTTTTGCTCTTAGAGTGATGCAAAGGCATTTGGGAGGACGAGATGGAGACGCCCTTTGCAATGGACGCGGTTGAGTGCTGGTTGCCCTCCTTTTTCCATCCCTGAATGCCAGTTGCTTGGGCTGCTGATCCGTCCTGGGGAGAAGGGATAATTCCCAGCGTGCCCAGAGCCAATAGACGAGCAGGACCCCTGGGTTATGCCACATTCTTCAGCTCCAGGGGGCACTGTTCACAGGGAGCTTGCTGAAGGCCCACCTGCGGGGTGCCCGTGGCCGCCCTGCTCAGGGGAGTCCTTGGGCCCTGGGTCACGGTGGCTGCTAAGCCACTCTCTGTGGCTGGAGGACTGACTGCAAAGGGGAGGGGAGAAACCACCTGGTTAGGGATGACCGAAGAGTCCTAAGTAGTTGTGTGATTTCAAACCGAACTTTCCCCCACATATCCAATTATGCTGAATATCATAAAAGTGGAACTTGGGTCCCCAGAGAGGATTTTATAAGCTCTTGGGCTGTACTTTTTATCTTCGGCTGTTCTATTTTCTTTATCCTCTCTCCTGTCATGGATCAGAGGGGTCCCTCTCTAAGTGTGGATTTCTGCATTCATGCTGGGGGTGTAGATGAGTCACTGGCACACTCCCGAGTGCCCCTCCCCCACGCCTCTTTCACCCAAGATTGAGTGTAGCCTCCTGCCACAGGAGGAAGGAGCTGGTGGAGGCATGGGGGACGTGTGTGTGTGTGTGTGTGTGTGTGTGTGTGTGTGTGTGTGTGTATGTGTGTGTGGCGAGCGGGGGATGGCAGGACCAGGCGCCCAACACCTGCCAGGGACAGACTCCTCCCTGCCCTCCTAGCCTTACAAGTAATGCATTTTCGCTGCACACGTGTGGCTCTGGCTGCACTCAGACTGGGCGCGGAGGAGCGGCTGAGCCAGCAGACGCTCCGGCTCAGAATGACCCTCAAAATGACCAGGACCCCGTCTCTGTAATGGTGCAGGTGGCAGCAGGGTCATAAGGCCAAGCACAGTATGAGAAATAACCAGGTGAAGGAGGCTTCTAGACCGCTCTAGACCGCTTTCTTTTGGGGGTTGGGGGGATCCCGCAGGGAACAGAGATAAAAAGGAGAAACTGGAAAGACTCCTCATGGGGGTCTTTGGGCTCGGTGTGGGTCCCAGGGCTGAGCCTGCGCAGGGAGAGGCCCCGGAAGGCAGCACTTGGGACCAGGGGGGCGTGGCTTCCGAAACCCCACCCACCTCCTCCAAGAGCAGCCTGGGGAGGGAGGCTGGTCTGAACACCGCCCTAAGGGAGAGTTTGAGAGCCTAGGCCTTCTGTTACAAATGCCTGCCTAGAAATTGAAGCGGAGCTCTCAGGTGTGTTCGGGACAGTGCCTCTGCGTCAGGAAAGAACTCCTGTGCCCCGATGGGGCCTCAGGTGTGCAGCCTTATCTGCTGTACGGTAGCCTCCGGGTTGCCTAGAAAGGCATCGGGTGCATACGGTTAACCAGGACCCACACATCCTGCTGGAGCTCTGTAACGTGGGAGAGCCCACGGCCACGCCGTGGCTCATAGGGTCTTCTCGCTGAGAACACTCTCCCTCCTTCTAGTTTGTCTATCGGTATCCTGTGTATTCTTCCAAGTCCGGCTTATGACGGGCTACTCCGGCTCACATTCATCCCTCCCTTTTATTAAACATTTCCAAAACAGTTCCTAGAGTTTATACTCATTGATAGTCATTTAATGATGTAATTGTTTCTTGTGTTTTTTCCCTCAAGGGCCTACGAGATCACTGGAGACAAGGATCATGCAGTTTGCCTTTCTTGTATCCCTCAGCCGACTCCTGCGGAACTTGAGGCAGCATATGTGTGGGATAAACAGCGCCTGACTGATGAATGGGACCGATGTGGTCCCTGCTGCTAAAGAAATAACATGGTCTTTGCACGGTGACACCGGAGCGGACAGTCCTTTGCCCACAGTATATGCTCTGATTTTTTAAAGTTAAAAAACTTTTTTAAAAGTGGAATAAAACCAGCCTTTCTGAGAAAGACACCACTGGATGATGGAAATTAACCTTGCATGCAAAAAAAAAGAACCTGATGCCAAGAAAAAGGTCCTGAGCTTTCCATCTGAGAAGTCACCAGTTAGCTCGGGTCACATGGGGGCTCAGACCCATAGGTCTCTGTTGATTCGAATACAATGGAAACCTGAATAAACCACAAGTTCCCCAGCCTTTCATGACAACGGACCCTCTCCCTCTGAATGCTTTCCCTTTCCTCTCTCTCTCAATGGGCCTCCTGTTTTGAAGGTTTTGTTTTTTTCTTCATCTGAACAGTAATTATTAATACATCGATGCATTTTCCCCATCTTGATTAGCTGGAGACCAAGAGCGATGATCGGGTCTTCTCAGTGGCAGCAGGTGACCAGAGCAACTGTGACACGGTGTAGATTGACTCCCCCCCAAAAAGGAAAAGCATGTTTTTGTTAGCTTTTACGGATATGTCTCCAGACATTGAACCGTATGTACTCTGGCTTTTTGAAATTCTGAAATGAGCTCAGGGATCCCTCTTTTTTTCTAGTTAGCTTGTCAAGTGTTGGGGTCCTCTGCCTGAGAAGTTTTGAAGGAGAGGGTCTCTGAGCTACCTTTCCACTCCGCAGCTCCCTGGTTCTCTGTCATCAGACCCACTGGATCATTTGCTTATCACGGGAGACATGTTTCCAACAACTTGAACAACTGTCATCTGGGCTTACGGGACAGAAGATGCTGATCTGGGGAAGTGGTGATGTGGGGATGCCGGAGCTGGGCATCAAGTTCATCCTCCACTTCTGTCTTGGCCAGATTAGCGGGGGTGTGAGTTTTATTGAGAAAGGGAGGCGGAAGGGGAGACTGAATGTGCACATCTCCTCATACACACTCTGCACACGGAGGCAGCCTTGGAGAGGGTTACCTGAGGTTTTCTGAGCTGAACTCGGACTCCAGGAATCTCCGAAACTGGTCCTGCCCCACCTGGTCCTTTAATACCTCGTCGAAAGAGAAGCCCCACCTCTTGACTCGCTGCTGGCTGGGCTCTTTGCTTTTGGGGAGAACAAAGGTTTTAAAAAATGATCAGTGCTAAGCAAAAAACACTGTGTCTTATTCCTTCTACCAACTCGAATCTATTTTGCTGCCGCATGCCGAAGGGCAAGGTCTCAGATTTAAGTGATGGATTTGATAAAACCTGCACAAACTCCAGTTGCCGACTCGGTACAACCTCAGCCAATGGTTGAGTGTCTCTTTAGACAAGGCATTTCAAAGGGGCCACATTTAGGCGAGGGTCCCCCGGAGACCTGCCAAGTGGCTGCTGTCTACAGGGAGAGAAACAACCCCGTTCACTTGGCTTCCCTGGACCCTGCCTGTCCACTACTGTCCAACTCTCGACTCTACCGCTTCTCATCTTGCTTAGATCCAAGTGGCATCCAAGCAGTGAGAAACGCATCAGCTCCTCCAGGATGAACCCTACCACTTGTGTAGAAGCAGACTGTTGTGTCCACTGAACCACCTTCTGGTCAGCCTCTCCGATGTTCTGGGCGTTGCTCTGAGCATCTTATCTCTGCTAACTCACTGGGTCCTCACAACTGCTCTGTAAAACACTGTACTAGTATTGGCCTCATTTTACAGATAGGGAAACTGAGGGCTGTGATCGCCTGCCCAGAGACACACTGGGAAGTGGTGGAGTCAAGACGAGTCCAGACAAATGTGGCTCCAGAGTGCAGCCCTTAGCCTAACTGGGCTGTCCTACACCCATGTGATCCTCCTCAGACCAAAGCAGGGGTCGGTCTTATTCTTTTGCTCTGGGAGGATGAGACTAGTTCCTTCAGCTCTGCGTTTCCGTTTGCAGTTCACTTGTGTACTTATTCCCCTGACCCTTCGAGTAGCTTTGGGTCTAGGTCACAAGCCGCATGCCATAATCGCCATATGCAAAGAGTGGTCTGGGGACCAGCAGTGGACTCTTAAGCTCTGTCTCGGACATGGGGAATCAGAATTCACAGCCATTGAGATCCCTGGGTGAGTTAAATGCTCACTAAACTTTGAGGAGCATGGGTCTGGCAATACTTATTTTCCTTCTTTTTAAAAAACTGACACATAGTTCTTATTATCTCTAGCAGGCATTAAGTGAATAAAATCATGGAGTTGATATATTCTCGTATTTGTCTTAGACAGTGACACTTAGTGAGGAGGGGGAAGAGGGCGTATGTGTTCAAAGGTTTGGAAAAACAAATAGGTCCTGCCAAGTGTTGCCCAATGGAAGTTTCTGCTACGATAAGAGTATTCTGTATCTCTTCCCTCTGTCTGGAAGCCCCTAGACCCGTGTGGCTCTTAAGCACTTGAAATATGGCTAGTGTGACTGAGGAACTGATTTTTATTCTTATTTTTTTTCATTTATTTATTTTTTTATTATGTTATGTTAGTCACCATACAGTACATCATTAGTTTTTTTTTTTTAAAGGTTTTATTTATTTGACAGAGAGAGATCACAAGCAAGCAGAGAGGCAGGCAGAGAGAGAGGGAAGCAGGCTCTCTGCCGAGCAGAGAGCCCGATGCGGGACTTGATCCCAGGACCCTGAGATCATGACCTGAGCTGAAGGCAGAGGCTTAACCCACTGAGCCACCCAGGCGCCCACATCATTAGTTTTTGATGTAGTGTTCCATGATTCATTGTTTGTGTATAATACCCAGTGCTCTGTGCAATCCGTGCCCTCCTTAATACCCATCACTGGGCTAACCTATCTCTACTCCCCTCCCCTCTGAAACCCTCAGTTTGTTTCTCAGAGTCCATAGTCTCTCAAGGTTCGTCTCCCCTTCTGATTCCCCCCCTTCATTTTCCCCTTCCTTCTCCCAATGTCCTCTGTGTTATTCCTTGTGCTCTACAAGTAAGTGAAACCATATGGTAATTGACTTTCTCTGCTTGACTTGTTTCACTTAGTATAATCTCCTCCAGTCCCATCCATGTTGATGGAAAAGGTGGGTATTCATCCTTTCTGATGGCTGAGTAATATTCCGTTGTATATAGGCCATATCTTCTTTATCCATTCGTCTGTTGAAGGACATCTCGGCTCCTTCCACAGTCTGGCTATCATGGACATTCACTTACACCGTAGGTGATGATTTTAAAATTTTATTTCATTTTAAATCATGAAAGTTTGTCTGTTTGTCTGTCTGACAAACCAATCCCTCACTGCCAGAACTTCTGATTTAATCATCCTAAGGAGGGTACTGGGCATTATTTTTCTTGTTGTTGTTTGTTTTTATTTTTTATTTTATTTTATTTTATTTTTTAAAGATTTTATTTATTTATTTGACAGATGGAGATCACAAGTAGGCAGAGAAACAGGCAGAGAGAGAGGGGGAAGAAGGCTCCCTGCTGAGCAGATAGCCCCATGCGGGGCTCAATCCTAGGATTCTGGGATCATGACCTGAGCTGAAGGCAGAGGCTTTAACCCACTGAGCCACCCAGGCGCCCCTGTTGTTTGTTTTTTAATAAACTCTCCAGGTGGTTCTAATATATGGCCAGAGTTGTTGGCCAAGAACTTCACTTATGAAAACCAACAGTCCCTCAAATTGCTGGGTATATGAGAAGATGAACAGATCTGCTCTGAACCGTGATTAGTCACAGTGACTGATTATATGATAAATGACCCCCAACGAAACCCACTATGTCAGAAACAGAGGGGAAGTACAAAAACCAAACCAAACCAAACCTGTATCACACCCTCAGGGGGATTTAAAAGGGTAAATATTAAAAGAACAGGGCAGGCTGCTAAGAAGAAGGGGTCCAAGAAATATTAAGAATTCCTGGAAGTGAAAATCATGACTGTAACCCAGCCCTCCCAAAACTCAGTAGGAAAAAGAAAAACTCATAAAGTATAACATCACAGAATGGACATTACTGAACACCAAGCCGAAGGCTTTGAAGAGTAAGTCAAGGAATTCTAAAATTGAATATAGAATAAAAAGACCAAGAGATGGGAATTATAAGAGAGAAAAGATAAAGAGAGATGGCTGTTCGATCCCAGAGGCTCAGAGTTTCTACAAAAGGATTTCCTGAAAAGAAAGGATAAGACAGAAAAAAGAATATTAGTGATGAAAAAAAAAGGGGGGGGTGGGGAAGAGAGCGAGAGAGAGAAAATACCTTGAGTTAAGGAAAGATTTAAATTCTTGGATCAGATTAGAAGGGAGGATATAGGGCCCATCTGAACTATTAGAAAGCACTGGGTGTGATGCATAAACAATGAATCTTGGAACACTGAAAAAATAAAATAAAGTTATAAAAAGAAAAAAAGAACTATTAGAAATAAGATACTCTTCTACCAACTATTTTTCTTTTAATGTTGATGGAGAAATATAAGTCCCAAAATGTTGGTTTAAAACATATCAGTCTTGGGGTGTCTGGGTGGCTCAGTGGGTTAAGCCTCTGCCTTTGTCTCAGGCCATGACCTCAGGGTCCTGGGATCGAGCCCCACATCAGGCTCTCTGCTCAGCAGGGAACCTGCTCCCCCAGCCACCCCCGCCCCCTGCGCCTGCCTCTCTGCCCACTTGTGATCGCTCTGTCAAATAAATAATTAAAATCTTTAAAAATAATATATCAGGCTAACATAACTATCAAGAGGAATGGGACTTGGGGGAAGCCAAGGGAAATTTCCATTTTTTATTTTACATACTTTATTATTATTTGTATGGTTGATGCCATTAATTAAAAATGAAAACATTTAATAGCAAATATGAAGAGAATAGAAACTAGAGTAAGGAAAGCTAATACAAAACTTGATAAATAAGGCAAAAATCAGGGAAGAGGAAAAGAAACAAAAAGAACGAGCTTTGGAAACCATGAAATATCAGAATAAAGATAAAATACATAATCCAAGTAAATATAACTGTTTTATATCCCAATGTCCAAAGCAAAACACACCACTAGAAAAGTGGGTGAAGGACACAAAACAGTCAAGTTCACAAGAGAAAAATGAGTATCAACCATGAGAAAAGATTCTCAAGTCTTTTAGCAAAGTGAAAAACATGAGCTCTTCTACTTTAACTTATCACAATAGGTGAAAATGACAAAGATTGATAAGGCTTGAAGATAATGCTTGAGTCAACGAGGAATGTGGAGAAATGGACACTTTTAAACTGTGGGTAGGAAATAAAATGATATTATTTTGCTTAAGAGAATCTAGTCATATGAACTAAAATAAAAATAAACATGCCAGTCCTAGCAGTTCCACTGTTGGAAGTTTATCCTAAAGTAGTAATTGGACTTGTGTAAAAGGATGTTATTTGCATCATTGTTTACACTAGCAAAAAAAAAAAAAAGAAGAAGAAGAAGATACAACCTTAATATTTATGACCTGGGGACTGGTTAAACACATTATACTATACTCATGCAAGGGGACACTATGTAGTTATTGAAAAAGTTAAGGCAGATTTATATGTGTTTACAGAGAGAGATTCCCATGATATATTAATTAAAAAATTATGGGACAATGTATATATAATGAATCCCTTTATGCAAAAGAATATGATACTGCATATACATGAGAATCTAAAAAGAGAAACTCTAAATCAAAGTTTCCCAAACTTCCTGAGTTCATGGCACCCTTAGAGTCTCAGTTACTTTTTCATGGTACCCCTGGGCAAAAAACCCCCATGTAACAGCTTTTTTTTCTTTTTAAGATATTATTTATTTATTTGACAGAGAAAGACACAGTGAGAGAGGGAAGCACAAGCGGGAGGCGTGTGAGAGGGAGAAACAGGCTTCCCGCTAAGCAGGGAGCCCGATGTGGGGGCTCTGGGATTGTGACCTGAGCCGAAGGCAGGAGACTAACGACTGAGCCACCCAGGCGCCCCCAGCTTTGTTTTTTAAATATGTCCAAAGGACTTAATATGTATTTATGTCCTAAAATTTAGTAGCTATAAAGTATATATAAATTGAAAGAAAAAACAATGTTTACTTCATTCTTAAATAACCACAACGCGTCCCTGCTGAGCACTGTACATCTTCTCAAACTTTGGAATCAGGCTGGACCCCAACATGCTCGTTTTCTGTTCCATTTTGATTTTTGCACAATACTTGCCTTTTATCAGCAACTTCCCTGAAAACCCACATTTGCAAAGAAAGGAATGTAATGTGAAATGTTGAAAATGATGAAGTACTTCAAGCTAGTACTTTACACCATATCAGCCGTCGCCGTGCTTCCCTCGAGGATACAGAATATGCTGGGGTGACCCTGTGAATTCCCTGCAGGGGCCCAGGGTGCCCTGGCTCCGTTTGGAAACCATGACATTAGACTGTAAGCAAAGATTCTTTCTGGAAAGTGAGATTGGATGGGAGGGAGAGAAACTTTTCTCTGTTATGCACATCTGAATAGTTTGAACTTTCATTATAATAAGCAAAATATAAAAGTAATAAAAGACTTTCATTACTTTCTTAAAAGATTTTTAATTGTTTTTAAGACTCAATTTATTTATTTGAAGGAGAGAGAGAGAGAGCACGCAAAGAAACGAGTAGGGGAGAGGAGCAGAAGGAGAGGGAGAAGCAGGCTCCCCAATGAGCAGGGAGCCCAATGTGGACTCAATCCAGGGTCCTGGCATCATGACCTGAGCCAAAGGCAGATGGTTAACTGAGCCACATAGATGCCCCAGACTTTTATTACTTTTTATAAGTTTTTTTTTCATTTCCAGAAAAGAAACCAGAAAAAGAGCAAGAGTGTAGGCGAATGAGGGAGATATAGGGAAATGAAAAATGAAATAAAAAGGCTTCTAGCCAAGGGGCAGAGGGTGCCAAGGCACACCACACCAGGTGTGTCTGTGCGCTTCCCTCGGTGACTGTGACTCTGGTCCCAGTCCCTCTGGGCTTTGGCTCCTGGGCTGGTAAATGAACGCCCTACCTTCCCTCATAGGTGAAGAGCTACTTTTAGTCACTCCCCAAGAGTGGAGTGATGAAAACCACAACTCTGGAACCTGTTGTCTGGGTTCTGACCCTAACTCTGCTACCCACTCGCTGAGGGACCTTGAGCAAGTTTATTAACTCCTCTGTGCCTCAGTTTCCCCATCTGTTCAATGATGAGAACTCTGTTTACCTGTTGTGGGGACTCGCTCTTATTGTTGCTGCTGATGCTATATACCAACAAATTGGTCAACAGATTGTTTTTTGTCCCTCCAGCAATCAGAGCTAGGACGTGTGGGGGTGCCTGGGTGGCTGTTGGTTGAGAGCCCAACTCTTGGTTCCGGCTGGGGTTCTGACCTCAGGGTCATGGGATCGAGCCCTGCATCTGTCGAGCTCTGCGCTCAGCAGGAAATCTGATTCTCTCTCTCTGCCTCTGCCCCACCGTCCACTCTCTCTCTCTCTTTCTCAAAATAAGTAAAATATTAGAAAAAAAAATTAAGAGTATCCCTGTTCTCACGATATCCAAGGGTCAGAGAGAGGTCAGAGGAAGACACTGGGGATCCATGTACACACCAAAGCCAGAGGGAGGTAGAACCCTGTGTGAGCAGAACTTACTTAGGAGGTAACTAGAGGGGTTTCTGTTCTAGTGATAAAAACAGTCAACTGAGATAGGAAATAATGTAATCTCACTATCACGTGATTTTTCCCCACATCTCTTTCCTTCTCAAACATTAAAACTTTTTTTTTTTTTTTTTTTTTACCTCATCTCTATGTCCCATAAAGTGATATCGTCACTGATCCAGGGATTGGATGGCTCGGCCGGCGTGATCAAAGGATCATATTCCACATACTGTTCCGTGTAAGCAATTAAGCTGCAGGAGGAAAGCAAAGAATGCGGCTGAATTCCTTTAAAAACTTGTATTCTCTTTTACACAAACATTGTAACGGTCTTTTTAGAATTCTAAGTTAAAGGGAAACGCCTTTACTCGCACTTCTGGCAAATCCAACTGTTTCCATGTGTGCTTGTTCCCTTCTCATGACGAATGTATCATTTTTGCATTATGCATTTTGCATTACGCAGTCATAGTACCTGCAGGCATTTTATATCTTTTCCCCACTTTACTCTGTACCTGGACCCTGGCTGCCTTAGCCTGACTGATACACAGGTCCAAACCTGCTTGTGTGTCACCTCTTGCAGAGACCACGGCTCTCAGGGCATCTGGGTCATAACGAGGACACTAGAGTCCCTCCAGGCTGTCAGCCAAGTGCTCCCAATTGGGAGATTTCCTTATTACAAAGACTAAAATCCTGATAGACCGAAAGGAGGTAATGCATTATAAGCATTATTCCACAAAACAACTTAGTTTTTCCAGTTATAATTCAAGCGGCTGCATTATCTTTCTAAAACAATAAAATAGTACTAAATGATTTCACACACACAAATAGCAATTTTAGCAAAAAAAAAAAAAAAAATAGGGATTTTTTTCTCCTATCCCTTTTCACAGACTTTTACTTTCTACCCTTCTGTTTCCTTTAGCAGTTAGCTGTATATTTCTAAATTTGGTTTTTATAGTTGTTCTTGATTACCAATTTCAGATGAGGATTTAACTTTCCCTTCACCAGTTCCCAACTCTCCCACCACCTCCCCCCATGATCCTCCTAAGAGACATATAATACTTTGTTAAATCAATATTTATTATTGTCCACATTATTAAACTAGATACAAATTGTATTTTGATGTGCTAAGGAGCCTCTTCAAGGGTTCTAACAAATCTGTAAAACATCCAGCAATAATTTTTCCACACCTTAAACACATCACATGATCGTAGTTCAGTTCTGTCTCCCTGCCTCCCAGAGGGCTTCTCTTCAAAGTGTCGAGTCCTCTCTCTCCAGTCTGGACCTGGAGACCTTGGCTCTACACGCCTGATGCAAAGTCACCGTCCTGGGAAGTCCTTCACTTTCTCGTGGAGACCTTGCTTTTCTGGACTTCATGTCTGTTTACTGGCTTGACTTCCTGGTTGTGTTGAAATCCTCCTTGAGTAGTTTCCTAAGAAAGGATGCACAAAGGCTAACTATTTCAAGTCCTTGCGGGTCTAAACATATTTTTGTTTTATCTTTATACTTGGCGGATGGTCCTGGGCACAGAACCCCAGGTTAAAAATCATCTTCCTTCAGGGTTCTGAGGGTGGCGCTCTACTGTGCTTTCTGGTGTCCAGTGCTACTGCTGAGAAGTCTGGATCTTCCTCGCTGGAAACAGAGCCTTCTCTTCTTGTTGCACTGCCCTGAGATTTCATCCCGGCCCTTGCTGATTGTTTTTATTTACTGTGCTGGGTATAAGGTGCAAGACATTAAAAAAAAAATTTTTTCCCAGAAGTATTATCTCTTGGCTAATTTCATTCTATTCATTTCCTTGGTCTTCTCTTGCTGTAATTCTTTCTAGGAGAACATTGGACCTTCTGGATTGGTAATCTAATTTTCTTAAATTTGCCTTACCGTTTTTTCATCTTTTTGTCTTTTTGCTTGACAGTCCTTTCCATCTTGTTATTTATTTATTTGCTTTGAATCTGGGCTATCACTTTCTTAAGTTTCCAGAGTTCATTCTTGTTTATCATAGATCTAGTTCTTGATGTATGGATGAAATATCTTCTGATATCTGATATTAATATTTCTTCTTTTTAAAAAAATATTTGTTTATTTTAGAGACAGAGAGAAAGTGTGAGTGGAGGGGGAGGGGCAGAAGGAGAGGGAGAGAGAGAATATCAAGCAGACTCCTTGTTGAACACAGAGCCCCATGGTGGGGCTCAATCCCACAACCCTGAGATCATGACCTGAGTCGAAATCAAGAGTTGGACCCTTAACCGACTGAGCCACCCAGGTGCCCCTGATATTAATATTTCTGAGGATATGAATTCTATATTTTTATTTTCTGGGTTTTTAAAAATAGTTTTGGGTCCCTCCAAGTCCCATTTGCTCTTTGTTTTTATCATACTCCATCACACTGGGGTTTCCCTTGAGTGTCGGAAATCTCTGGACATCCACTTGTGTGAAAGAGTAAGATACAAAAACCTGCTTGGAGATTCAGTGTGTATGGTGTGTATGTGGACAAGGGTTCATTGTCAGGTCATGGGTAACTCAGCAGACTTTTCACTAGAGCCCCAATGAGGGATGTGGGGACTTTCCCTGGGGGACACTGATTTTTCTCTAGAGCAAGGGTAAGTAAACATTGTCTGCAAGACTCAGTAAATATTTCAGATTTTACAGGCCAAATAGTGTCTGTTGCAACTACTCAGCTCTTCTATTGGAGCAAAAACCAGTCATAGATAATTCATGAATCAATGTGCGTGATTGGGTTCCAATAAAACTTTATTTGCAAAAACAGTAGGGTGGAGAAGACTTGGCCCACAGCTTGTAGTTTCCTAGTCTCTTGCCTGTGGGCATATACATCGAGTTCCTGGAGGGCTAAGAGCCAGGCAGAGACAGGAGGGAGGGTCCCACTGTTCACTGTTCACTAAATTAATTGATCCTCAATTAATTTTCTGTTTTCACCTGGCTATTTATGATGTGAGGTGCCTGAATTCTGAACTGATGTTGACTCAGTTTCTCTGGAGAATAAACTGTTCATCTTCTATGATGGTAGAAACTAGGGAGAGATAGTTTCCTAGTGGGGCAGTTATCTAGGGATCCAAAGATCCAGAGACAGACTTTGCCCATTCCTCTGGGTTAGCCCCAGGCTTTATTCTTGCTCTCCATGGTCTCTTGTTTTATTCTTGTTCTCCATGGTACCTTCAAGAGCCAAGACCAAATTTTGTTGGGCAATCTGGCTCACTTTGTTACAATACTGACACTCTTAACACACAGGTTATAATGTTCTTTGCTCTGTCCTCAACCATCTTGTTTTCTTTATTTTTTTAAATTAAATTTTGAAATATTTCAGGAATACGGAAAGGCGTAAGAATTGTAAGGACACATCCTTGTTCTCGCCACCCTATTAAAAAAAAAATATGATAGAGACAGGGGCCCATGGTTATGCCCTAATTCCATAGTCTCTCAAACTTGGAAAAATTTGTTGAACCTGTTAATCCATTAATTTGTGGACCATGTCACTCATATCATTTTTATTCCTTTACTTACACATTGCTTTTGAGGAGGGAGAGAAGAGAAACATATGTCCACAATATTGTCTTGAGTGAACTTGTTATAATTAATATAATCATTTCCTTTATAGCAGACACAGATTTAAAATTTTTTTTTTTTTAGTATACATAATGTTGTAGTAGAACACCATTGTTCACATAGGTTTTTCCATCTTCTGGGTTATTTATTTAGAATTAACACCCACAAGTGGAATTATTGGGCCAAAAGGTATGAATATTTTTATGGTTATCGATCCACCATAAAATTTTTCTCCAAGCACTGCCAACTTGAGTGTCATCAATCTCTCCTGAAATGATAAATTCAGAACCACAGTTCTTACTACTGAATTGCAGAGGAAAAGCATGTCAATTACTGCAGAAAGTGTGAAGAAATTAGCCAACAGCTAGAACTCATTGCCAATCAGAAAGTGTGGTCCACAAACCAGCAGCATAGTGATCACCTGAGAGCTTGTAAGAAATGGAGAATCTCAAGTCCTACCGCAGACCTACAGAGTCAGAAACTGCATTTAAACCAGATTCCCCAGGTGATTCATATGCACAGCAAAGGCTGAGAAGCACCACATCTTATTTGATATTCGGAGGAGTTCCGGTCACACATTTTATTCATCCAATCAAAATGGAGGAGTCTGGGATACTTTCAGTTTTAAACAGGGCTCCAGACTTTCCCATTACCCCACAGCCTCCTCACTGTTCCAGGTTTGGTCTGTTGCCCAGCAGGGATGTAGGAGGAACATTGGTCCAAGCTGGAAAACCTTGGTTCTCATTCTCGGGTGAACCATTTGAGTGATTTTGTCAAGTTCGCCATGTTACATAATGGCCTTGTGGAGCACTCAGGACCATTTGAGAAAAAAATGGAAAAGTATTTTAAAAGAATCTTCCAAATCTTCTATACACGTAAAATATGTGATTGCAACCACCATGTGCAGTGGAGGCATGCTGTCCTCATAGGAGCACAAGGTAGGCAGTGTGCCCAGATGAAACTTCATCCCTAAGAGCTCTGAGGCAGCACTGTGGCAGGAAGGGTGCTGTGACATCTCCATAGGGAGCCATCCCTTTGCCACTTGGGATAATTCCATTCTTTTTGAAAGAAATGGGTTGCACATTAAGGTACATAATAGTTTCCTAGGGCTGCTCTAACAAATGACCACTTACTTGGTGGCTTAAAATGACAAAAATCTACTCTCTCTTACTTCTGGAGGCTAGAATTTCTGAAATCAAGGTGTCAGGAGGCCCATGCTCCCTCTGGGACTTGAGGGGAAGAATCTGTCCATCCTCGCCTCTTCCAGCTTCTGGTGGCTCCAGGAAGTCCTTGGCTTGTGGATGTGTAACTCCAATCTCTGCCTCGGTCCTCACATGACTTTTCCTCTGGGCCTGGTCTTCTTCCCTTCTCTCTCTTACTTGTCATTGTATTTGGGGTCCACCAGAATAATCCAGGATGATTTCATCTCAAGATCCTTAATTCACATTTGCATAGAGTCTTCCCAGATACGGTCACATTCACAGGTCCCATGGATTAGGACTTGCACATACCCTTTTGGGGGCCACTATTCCACCCATTGCAGGGAACATGAAAGAATCCAGGCATGAAGCTGGAGAGGGCACACTTGACCACCTGACTCCTTCCCTCAGATTGGCACAAAAACTAACCAGCAGATGGTAACCTCAACCCTGTTTCAGGGACAATGGGTCATGTGAGATGTGTCTGAGTCATGATGAGG